GGCCACTACGTCTGCAAGTGCACCTCTGCCAAGCCCCAGAGAATCCAGTAAATTCAAGGGAATCCGGGATCTAGAGGAGAAGGATTACAGCCTCAGCAGCTCCAACGAAAGAGTTGGCACGGAGAGGAAGGAGGGACTTTTGTGGGCTCTGAGCAAACCCGGTAGTCATGTCGACCCGAAGGGCCTGAATAAGCAGTCTTGGCACAAGTAAGTTCTCAACGGAATATCTAGCGAGCTTCTCTAACATTCAGTAGATTTTGGATCGTCCTTGACCAAGGGAAGCTTTCAGAATACAGTAACTGGAAGGAACAGCTCGATCTCCACATGGACCCTATCGACCTCCGCTTGGCATCTGTTCGAGAGGCCAGGAATGCCGAGCGGCGGTTCTGCTTCGAAGTGATCACTCCTCATTATACCAGAGTATACCAGTCTACATCACAAGAAGACATGACGAGCTGGATATCAGCCATCAACAACGCACTCCAGAGCGCCATGGAAGGCCGAGGCATTCAGGACATTGTCGTAGCTCCAAGAGCTCCACAGGAAGGATCCTCTATCAGGCGCGAAATTGGCTCCATCCTAACGGGCAAGAGCGGTTCGCTGGGCCACGCCGCCCACGCCGCCCACCAATCCATCAACTCCTCCGTCCTCAACAAGAACGACATCTTCCGCCGGACCACCGTCGGCGCACGCCCCGCCTACCAGCGCAAAACCAGCGCCGCCCTTGACGAGAGCCCCGACAAGCTGCTGCAAGTCCTCCGCGAAGCCGATCAGGGCAACTGCTGGTGCGCTGACTGCGGATCAGGCGTTAAGACTGAATGGGTGTCCATCAACCTCGCCATCATCATGTGCATCGAGTGCAGTGGGATCCACCGCTCCCTCGGCACCCACATCTCGAAAGTGCGCTCCCTAACTCTGGACATCACCTCCTTCACCGCCGACATCGTCGAGCTCCTCCTCGCCGTCGGCAACCGCATATCAAACACCATCTGGGAAGCGCGCCTGGACGCCTCGCTCAAGCCCTCCCCACAAGCAACCCGCGACCAACGCCTCAAATTCATAACAGCCAAATACGTCGACCGCGCGTACGTCGCGCCGCTGTCGCCCACGCTATCCCGATACGGTACGCCGGATGAGACGCTCCTCGCAGCAATCAAGAAGAACGAGATCCAATCCGTCCTCTACGCCCTTGCTCTCCGCGCTAACCCCAACGCAACGGACAAATCCCGCGCCACGCACGCCGTCTTCCTCGCTCTCGCGGCCGCGGACCCGGCGTCTCCTTCGTCATCGCTTCCGCCAGCGCCGCCGCGCACAGCGGACAAGCCGAAGAGCGTCGCGTTCCCTGTCGCGGAGCTGCTCGTTCAGAATGGCGCAGAGGTACCGGCTGCACTTCCGGCGTTCCCGCTCAGTAGGGCCGCGGCGCTATATGTGGATGTTAAGCTTGGGAGGGGAGAGAAGCTGGGGGATCGCATTGCGCCGTTGCCTGGTGTTGGGCCCGGGCCGACGGGGGCGATTAGTAGTAGTCCTGCGGAGAAGGAGAGGGCGAGGGAGGCGAGATTGCAGAAGCGTGTTAGTGCTGGTGGGAGGCTGGCGAGGGCTGTGATACCGGAGAGGTGACGCGAGGGGTCTGGGGGTGAGGAAGGTGGATGGGGGGGGAGAAGGTGGAGTTGGGGTGGGCTGGGGGGGTGGAGTGGTGGGATTTAATGTTGATTTGGGAATACCAGGATTGTTTACGTGTTGTGGAGGTTGGCGTTTTGTGGGAGGGATGATGGGTTATATTTTTCTAAGAAGGGTGTTGGATAGACACATATAGTAGATGTCTGAGTTGTACGGATAGAAGGTATGGGAATGGGTGGGTTGGGCGGCGCAATGGGGAGGATATATAATAGCTGATTCGAGGGGGAAAGGAGGAATGCATCTTTCTGCGCGAAGGTATCTTATGGTGGCATAGTATGGCATTAATCAATTAGGCAAACAAGGAAAGAAATTACTGCTCTAGGTATTGGTCATGGATGTGGTGTGGGATGTGATGTTGAGGTTGACCAATGTCCTATAATTCCCCTACACGCCCTCAGAGTCATCAATTCACAATCATCGCCCTCCGATGCCATTCCCTGTATTTTTTGTCTGCCACAATCTCGTCGTACGATTATTTGAACTCAAAAAGTTTAAGGCAAAACTATTGTATTATTTTTAAATTTCTATTTTCTATTTATTTTATGCATCTTAGCATTTTGCATTTTGCGCAATGTACTTCCATTTTCGTAGTACATTGCGAACTTTTAAGATTTGTATGGCCATTTAGGACTTGAAGGGATCGACCTGCTGATTTTTGAAAAAACGGGGTTTGTATAGCAAGAGGGTGATTTTGGCTGTGTTTTTAGGGTTTTGACATGATCGATTAGTAGAGTAGTTTTCGAGCAGCCACCATAGGCGGGGCATGTGTAGGTACATACATACACATGCCTGTAAATTTTAGAAGCACTATGTACATAGTAAGAAGTGCTTTTAAAATCCATAGTTTGTATGTCCAATTTCATTGTCGATTTGAGGTTCCTATTGTATTCCGAGTTGCATTCTTACATGTTGCGTTAAAGTGTTCATAACACTACCACTCCGCTCCCACAACGATCCTGAAGTTCTCAGTAAACTCCCACCTATCGCCTCAAAAGTTCACAACGCTGACACTACGCTCCCACAACGCTCCTGAAGTTCCCAGTAAACTTCCACCTATCACCTCAAAAGTTCACAACGCTGACACTGCGCTCCCACATGTTACTTTAAAGTTTACAACACTATTAAACAACAACTTTGTATATACCGCCCTTACATAATCTATGTCCCTAGAAACACGGGCACCTAAGGCTATGCCCCTAACACACCTACATGATCTACGTCCCTAGAAACACGGGCACTAATGGAGAATAGTAGAAGGGTAGTTTAACTCTACTGTTAAAGCTCCTAGTGGAATACACACCTCTCCTACCACACGCTAATACATAATTACCTGCCTCAACTTATAGTTAGTATTTTTAAAGTTAGAGAAGGTAGAATTAGAGACGGTGATATGTATGTATGATGGGAATGTAAACGGAAGTGAAATGGGAAGTGAAAATAGGGGAACGGAAACAGAAGTAGAAACGGAAGTGAAAATGGGGGAATGGAGATAGAAGTAGAAATGGAAACTAAAATGGGGATGGGAAATACGGGAATGGAGACAGAAGTAGAAATGGAAGTGGAAATGGGAATGGAAAATGCAGGAAATGGAGATAGAAGTAGAAATGGAAGTAAAAAGAAAATGTGAAAATAGAGGAATGGAGACAGAAGTAGAAACGGAGGTACGAATGAGGGAATGGAAACGAAATGGGGGAATGGAGATAGATAGATAGAAACAGAGGTGGGAATGAGGGAATGGAAATGGAAGTAGGAGTAGAAGTAGAGATAGTAGATGACTATAGCTATAACGAGATAGTAGTAATAGTAATGGTTATGGCTATGGCTATAGCAGTAAAGAGAGGATAGGAACGGGAAGGGGGGGTGAAGGAAGGGGATAGGGGGAGAGAATTTAACGGCATCTCCTTGGAAATCCATTTTAGAAATTGGGCGGTATGAAATTAAAGTTGCATCTTGATTTTTATATGGCAAATCTTTATTCTATAAAATAAGGGCCAAACCTAAAACCGTAAGTTTGACTACTACCAGTAGTACATACCATAGCAAGGGCACAGCTATACCATTTTGCACATTGCATAAGCATGTATGCGCATTTAAAGTGAAGAGTGCGCACGCGGCTGAAGTACAGTAGGGATACCATTTCCCCCCCGCGAATCTGTAGGAAGGAGTGTACATATATGCGCGCATTGCTAGATTATAGGGGCGCGTGCTAGGAATACCGTTCTCTTAGGCGCATTTTGTAGTAAAGCATGTTGATGTTAATCGGACGTTCCGAAAACGATAGGCATTTAAAATATATTTACTACCTAAATTATAGTTTAGAGATCTATCTAAACCGCCTTGCCATGTAAATTTAGAGGAGTCACAGGCGAGATGGAGGTGCCAGGGGAGGAGAGTGCTCGGGGGAGCAAGGTCATCATGGGGATTCATACGCACCCCTCAATGAGGCCATTTGCATGTGCATGTAACTGTGATGTCTGTGGATCGGTATTCAGAGTACATGAAGAATGTAGCACATTATAATAGTTCTACTGCCCCTTTCTTTACACGTCTTAATGCATTTCTTAGAGGAGCACGCCGACAACAGCGATACTACCAACAACGGCGATACTACCAACAACACACTATTCTCATAACAATGGGCCATTTGCATGGCTCGTTGATGGGTGCGCATGAACCCCCTCATCATGCTAATCATGGCCTCGATCTCGATCTCCAATCCCTTCCCTTTGTCCCATTGCCCCCATCCACCCCGCAATCTCAACCCCACCATTCAGCACCCCCTCGTGCGGCGTACGTGCCTTAGAGACTCTTCCGCCCTTTGTCTTGTTGAGCGTGCACACACGGCAAGAGTGCATTCATTACCTTGCGCCACGAGGGATCTGTACTTGTATGAGTGAGCTTTCGTAAATCAAGACTATATACTAGTGACATTTCAGAGCAGTAGTCGACCGCGAAAACTAACACATAGTAGTTGCATGCGTAAAGAAGCATAGGTATTTTCCTATGTACGCCGTCGCAGCGCTCGCGGAATCGGAGCCAACAGTCGTTTCAAAATATATAACGGTATATAATAATATTCTCCTTCATACAGTCTATTCAGCTTCTACAAAACGCTAGGAAGGAGCATATATCTAACCTGCTCCTTCCTATAATTAATATGCTTCCACAACATCTTAAGGAAGGAGCGAATAACTATAACCTTGTTAGCGTAACATATGTTCTAGTGAGCAACCACCACGTCGTAGTTTTCGCATGTGGAGGACTACACTGAAATGACACCGGTATATAGTTTTGATTTACAAAAGCTCACTCATACAAGAAAATCCCTCGTGGCGCAATTGGCTAGCGCGTTCGACTGTTAGCGGATTAATTCTGGTATCGAGAGGTTGGTGGTTCGAGCCCACCCGAGGGAGTTTATTTTTTGCGCTTCTCATTAATTTTGGTGGGCAACATTATCATTTTTGCCATACTAAAATACGGGTACAGCGTGAAAAAGGTACGTACCACCATCACCACCACCATAGAAACTGGCTCCTCTGGCCAAGACAAAAGAAACCAAAAGAGACCAAAAGAGACCCAAAAGAGACCAAAAGATAATCCGGCAAGGGCGGCATCTAGCACAGGGGCCATTCCCCATCTTCGCCTTGTTGGCCCATACATTTAGGTAATTGTGAAGACGGATAGTCGTCATCACGCTTTTCTTGGCTCTTAGCATCTCACAATAGTTGGTGTTGTTATATTTTTGCCAATTAACACGCCGAGAGGAGAGAGATTTATATATACAGATTGATTCTTAGGATTCATTTCACCACGGCTATTTCACCATGCCACTCCTCTACTCACCCGATAACTCCCTATTGCTCTTCGAGAGACCGAGTACCAGAGTTAACATCACATTCTGCAGATCCCAGTCCATTCAGCCCCAAATGTGGAATCCATAATTGACAGCCTTGCCAAGAAAGGGCCTTACCAGGCGTCAATTGTGGAGAATCTCCAGTACCGCGCCGATTCTATTCTCAGCTCTCTTCCTCGCTCGTGCTCTTTTTAATTCCCCAAACATATCCGACCTTCTCTTTCTAGATTTCCACTTCTGCTGTCAGCTGAGTTACTGTCTAAGAAAATCTGCACCTAAGATTCTCGAAGCGTAAGCAAGCCACTGTTGCAAAGTTATTGGTAGAGCGGCAACAGGACGCGGGACACAACGTCCCAACTCAGTCCAGCCTCAGCTGCACATTGCCACTCAACGGCACAGTTCACACACTCGTTATTTCTCTGTCGACGACATATATACTTCCACTGAAGTCACCCTCAATCTTGCAAAAGACTCTCATATCTCTTCCTCCACCAACAAAATGACCGACGCCACACCAAAAACAGAGGAGCCCGTCTCCAACGACGCACCCGCCTCCAACGACACCCAACAACAACAACAAGAAGAACCCAATTCCCAGAACGAAAAGCCCGAACAAGAGCCAGAAGCCCAGGATGGCGGCTCCCACCACCCAGACGAGGAATCCGAAGCCATAGAGAAGCGCTCGAAGAAGGGCAAAGTGAAGGACAAGGTCGAGGAGAAGAAAAAGAAGGCCTACGAGATGGCCAACCCCCCGGGCGGATACGACTCGACACCCGTCCCGTCAGCACCAGATGGATATACCGTCAAATTCACATTCGTCCGCGCCGAGAACCTGCCCATTGGCGACCTAGGCACGGCGTCGTCAGACCCATTCGTGATAGCGACGTTGACGAGCCATGGGATAAAGCCGAGACACAAGGAGGACCCTGAGATGAGGCTGCGGACACGGACGATCCAGAAGGACACCAATCCGGTGTGGAACCAGGAGTGGATCGTGGCAGGCGTGCCGAGCAGTGGCTTTAAGCTGAAGTGCCGCCTCTACGATGAGGATGCGAATGACTCGGACGACCGACTCGGCAACGTGACGGTGGTGGTGCCACACATCAGCGAGAATTGGGAGGGCATGCGCGAGGCTGGGTTCCCGGTCAAGAAGCGGATGGGCAGCTGGCGCGCGTATCTCTTGAAGAGCATCACGACGATGTGTGGCAGCGATGGGGATCTCTCGGGCCAGCTGTTCCTGAGCATGGAGGTGCTGGGCAAGAGCGATAAGCCGTATGGGAAGATGTACACCGTTGGACCTACGGGGTGGACGAAGCACTACAGTCCCATGATTGGGCGTCTTGCTGGCACCAAGGCGCCAAAGGTCGAGGGTCATGAAGGCGAGAAGGCCAAGGTTGAGAGATATGAGTAAGTCCGCCCAGCGTCAGTCACAAACTCAGAACTAACTAGCCACAGTTTCCAAGCCAACCAGGTCCAACTCCAAGGCCCCGTCCCCGACGAACTCTACCACCGCTTCGTCGAATTCAAACCCTTCGTCAAAGGCATGTTCGACAAGTCCGGCCTCCGCGGCCACGTGCTCAACGCCGCCCTCCACCACCAGCACGCGCGCGTCTACAACTACTCCAACACCACCACCCACGGCACCATGGAACCCAAATCCCAAGAAGCCGCGCTCCAGTTCCTCAAACTCGCGCACTTCGACGAAGGCGGCCGCGTCTTCACCTACGTCCTCACCCTCGACGGGCTCCTCCGCTTCACCGAGACGGGCAAGGAATTCGGCATCGACATGCTCAGCAAACACACTATGCATAGCGATGTCAACCTTTACATCGCGTCCTCGGGCGAATTCTTCATCCGCAGACTCAAGGATAAGAATAGCAGCCCCGAAGACCCGAATCAGCAGACCCACCCCACTGATGACATTGAAGGCGGCCCGCCGCACTCCGCTCCCCCTAAGGACCCAGCGAACTACGAACTCGTCATCGACAACGACAGCGGCACCTACCGCCCCGACGGCACTCTCCTCCCCGCACTCCAATCCTTCCTCGAAGCCAATCTCCCCGGCCTCAAGATCGTCACGAAGCCCTGCACTGACGACGAGCTGCAGCGCATGAAGAAGGAGCAGCGCGAGACGAAGAAGAGGCAGGGAGAGCAGATACAGGTTTACCAGGGTGATAGCGATGGGGGGTGGAGCTCCAGTGACGAGGAGAGCATGGATGAGAGGGCGCAGGGGAAGAAGAGTAAGAAGGATAGGGTGTTGGAGGCGATTGAGGATCCGGAAGCCGCGATTAGGGGGTTTAGACATGGGGGGAGGGCGAAGAGGGAGGAGAGGGAGGAGGAGGAGGATAGGGTTGATGATACGGTTGAGGCGGGGGAGGGGGAGGCGAAGAAGTGAGGTGAGACTGGTGGTGAGGGTGGGTAAGTCGGATGCGCGGGGGGGTTGATCGTGGCGGCTTTGTATATGGGCTTGTATAATACTTTACTTTGCGGGCAGGTTTTCGTTTGTTTGGCATGGATCGGGGAGGGCGGCGGGAAAATTTGTTTTAATACCCATACACCCAGATGAGGGGTGATATACACGGCCTTGCGGCTATTTATGCGGTTTCTTTTATCTCGGGGGGAGGGGAGGATGCACGTCTTGCGAGGGCGACTGGGATTGAGGGTGGTATATAATGTTTTATTACAGTGGGAAAGTGGAAGGGAAAGCATATCATGGCTTTTTAGTGTTAGTAATTATGGCTATTGCCTGTATAAATCCGTTTTCAAGATCACATTCAGTTTCAATAATCACCTTTAAAGCAGGATATGGGGAGCACCGCTCAACTTACAAAGCTGTAGTTCATGGATTCCAAGACGGGAGTTTTGACGAAGACAGCCGCCTCAGTGGGAAATAGTATAAATCATATCCTCAGTGATCCCAATACACCTTTCGAAACAAACACATATTTCCACTTCGGTGGAATCTCACCCAGAAGATCTCAGTGCACGTAGCCAGAAACGGTTCTGCTCTGGTCACAGCTGCTGTCCGGGCGATTCCTTGGAGGGCGTTGGAACGCAGCGGCAGTGACAGGAAAAGGAGCGGCGACGACAACACATCGGTGACGGTGACAGATTAATGACAGCAATAGGTTGTGACAGCAGCAGAGCGGCGGAGGGGACATTTCTACACTTCTCGTCACGGCCGGAAACCTGGTCTTGGTAATTGCGAGCCATTCCTGGAGGTATGGCATAAATTGGATTGCCCTGTGTTTGCCAGTGTATACGGCGATAAACTGGAATTTTCGTCTGGATATATCCATGATATTTTTGAACTCGTTGTATCGTTCATTGTAAGGCATCAAATAAGAGGGGGGGGGGGGGGTTGGAGGGGAGAGAGAGGCTCTCTCCTACGATACTCGATGGTGTTGTATTTTCTCAAGCTGCAATGAGATTATTTTATTTTATACTGCAAGTGCTGTAATATGAGTGATCGATTTGGCCCGAGTGGGAAATAATATAAATAACATCATTAATGACCCAGATAGTCTCTTCGAAACAAACACTCATCCTTATACATCTCTTCATTACTCCGGGCCTTTCCCAGATGACTTTGGCGCCAGAAACGATTCTATAACGGCGCAGCTGCTGACTAGGTGGGTTTTTCGGACGATGTTGGCTTGCGGCGGTGGTAGAAGGAGTGGTGACAGCAAAGGAGTGGTGACGGTAGTGGGGTTGTGCCAGGAACAGAGCGGTGTTAGCAACGGTATGCGGAATTGCCCGATTCCTCAGCAGAGGCGTTCTTTTGCTTGGTGGTGACGATTTAAAATGTTTTGGCCTCCTGTATAGATGGAACCGTTTGGATCGTTTGCAGTGAGGTATGTATTCGTAGAGTTCTCGAGAAAGGCCACCATCGTTTTCGGTGAGTTGAGGAACCTGTCATTTGCGAGGCCCCTCTTGGAAGGCCTGGCTTATTGGCGCAGATGCAGATACATATAGGTAAATCCAGTCAATAAATCAGTTTCTGGTCAAACCATATAACACCGTTATGAAGTCCTAGTATACACGCTGCTCTACCCCATACTCGTGCCAGGTCTAGAAAACGCCAATCCCCCTTCCTCCCCGCCTAATCCTGCTTGAGCGGCTTGTAAATCTCCTCAATCCCATCCTTCGTAATAACCATCATCAACAGCCCATCACCAACCTCAATATGCCTCTCCACCGCGCTATCAAACGCATCCTTCACCAAATCCTCCACCACATCCCTCCCCAACAGCACCTTCTCCCTCTCCTTCAAGTTATGCCCAACACCACTCCCCGGCTCATACTGGTTCTTGAAGTTCACCTGACTGTCCAGGAACGGCATAATCAAGCTCGCCGCCGCACCACCCGCACGACACTGCTCCCTCTCGTAGCTGCCTACCGGATCGTAACTGTACACGGCGCCCTTGCCCTCCTCATCCAAGCCGCCCAGGATCGCGTGCGCGTAGTATGGGAAAAAGCGCTTCTGGTAGAGGATGATGGACAGCCTCTGCGCCGCAGCCTTAACCGTCATAGCCTTGCCGTGCTGGTAGCGGTACAGCT